TAGCTTGTTGTATACTAGAATCACTTGTTAAACATCTAGAAAACTTCAAGAAATCATGATCAAAAGGGTGTTTACGGCCAAGGCAATCTCCCTTGGCCGTAAACCCTAATTTGAGGTGCAAAGTTGCCACAACACCTTCCTAAGCCTTGAAACTAAACCTAGAACACTTCCAAGATGATTATCGGACCTTAAACACACAAAATGGTACAAGATACCTTGAGTTTACGGCCGTGAACCCATTGGGCCGTAAACTCATGGGGGTTTACACTTGGGCCGTAAAATCCAATGTGAGGCCTTACAACCTTTAGGTGCAACCCTTTGTACTTCTAGCACTTGAATCAAAGTGTTTGCCTTATCCTAAGGTGTCTTTACTTGCTTAATTAGTTGTTTAATCACTAATTAGATACATATATGTGTCATTATATGTTAAATAGGATCCGTGTGTGCTCAAGTTTTCACTTGACAGTTAGCATCCTATCCAGCACTTCCACCCAAACCACTCACTACAGGTGAGTTCATACCCCTTAATCAACCTTTGAAATGATTTTAAATGCTTTTATGGGGGGGGATACAAGTTGAAACATTCTAGTTATTATATTAATCACATGTGATTAATAACTAGAACAAACAGAAAGATTTTCTAACTTTCAAATTGTTATCAAACTTATGGATTTCAAACACTTCAAAACATTTTATTAAACCCTTTTAAATGATAAATCCTTTATCAAACTCTTTTAAACTTATATTATTGTCAAACTCATGTCTATACATATATATTTATATAAGTAAGATTTGAAGGACTTAGGACTGATAGCTCACTTTATTTCCTGTTCCTTGTTTGGTTGTGGACTTAGAATATCCTGTTATTTGTCCGAATGTCGTTGAAACCTTAGTTATATATCATATATATGTGTTCAGATACAAAAGCTTTTACTTCAGTTCAGTACCTTTGGGTAGCAAAGGCATACAAACAACATTACTAGTAAACTATGATAGGTATAGTTTACGAAATTACTACTCACTATTACTAGTACAACGAAGCATACAAGAGTCAGTACATTTACAAGTCATTACAAACGTACTATAATGAAATACAATACACACTATACACTATACAACAGAACATACTATACATTATACAAGAGAATATACTATACACTAGTACAGAGAGAACATTACTACACTATGACTTACTATACAAACATTAGAATACGATAACTAGAATGTGACACACTATTTAGGATACAACAAGTCAGTGTTGTATCATATTGTAACCAGAGTCTCCTGGAGGGAGAGCGGGAATTGTGTGTATAGATCTATACGGGACAGACACTCCCACACCCCGACTGCTAGCTACAGTCCCAGACGATAAGGCCAAGGGTTGACAAAATGTCACCTCACTATATTATGACACCGGAAGGTCATCAGTTATTCAGTCGTCGATCAGCATGGTTACAAACGAGTTCACATTTAAACCTTTAATTAACCGACTAATGATTAAAGGAAAAAAGACTCCCCGAGGGGTATTGTACATTTAATACTACCTGGAGTCTGTATTTTATTACTTTATAGCTAGCAGTGTCACTATTACACTTACAAACATTTCACAAACACTTACATTACGTTGTTACAAACATTTTCATACAAGCAATGACACTAAATACTTATGAACTCACCAACTTTAATGCTGATAACATTATTCTATTAATGCAATGGACGTTGTTGCTTGTTTACTATTATGCATTGTTATGATACTATACATGACGTCCTCCGCCCCAGAACGATTCCGCCGTTCCGGTTTTGGGGTGCGACAGATTGGTATCAGAGCATTGTTTATAGTGAATCAAGTATATGAACCCATAAAAGATATACAAACTATAACCGCATCGGGATTAAAATACTCTGACCAAGAGTTTATATTGTTAAATAATAAAATATTTAACCAAAGTATACCTACCGACATTCATACTAAAATCAGTGTCACTAGGATAGAACAAAAGTATTACGATTGTTGAACAACACAATTAGGCTTAGAGACATATAGTCAAATCTAGGGGGATATAGCCTGATCAACTATATTTTTCCGAGGAGTGACTAGCATTTGCCTAAGAATGATTGTGTGTGTTGCAACAAGCTCTAAAACTTACCAATACCACTACAATGAGAACCATAGAACAGAACATAAACCTAAAATACTATAGGAGTATTTTGTTACTATAATTACTTATTTGAGAACTAAAAGGGACTTTAGTAGTAGGTCAATAGTTGCTAAGTGGATACACTACGATTATATGTGACTAAGGTGTTATAGACTTAGAATCTGTGACCTTTGCTTTACTTCCTGTTCCTTGTTTGGTTGTGGATTTAGAGTTAGGGTCACTTATTCGAAGGTCTATCCTACTTTGATTCCATATAACTGGCATGCACTATGCAAGTATTGAAGTAACTAGTAAGGATCATCTTATAATTATCTTAGGTAATATGCCTATTAGATTTAAGATTCTTATACCCCTTTTTCTCGCGTAGATTTCATGGTTGGATTCCATATCCCTGGAGACCCGTCCTTTCCCAACAACGGCAATGTTGGATGGCTTGAAGAAGATCCAGAAGATGATCATCCAATCCCTTTGGATGATCACCTCGCAGAAGGCTTTTCGGATGGTTTTGACTCCGAACCAGAAGTCAACAACCTACCTCCAGTGGCTCAAATCCCAAATCCTAACCCCCGTCCAACATTTCAAGGTCCCACACCTCTGTGGGCAGTAAACTTGAACAGGTGGAGCCACGAACAGGGTCAGCCTTTACCCTTCAATGGGGACCAAAGCTTTTACAATATAAGCGAGGGAGGCTCAGCTGACCGAGTCCTACCCATTATGGTCTGCAGGATTGCTCGGAATGTGGAGCAAGGCCGAGCAGCCATCAACCGAGTGATGGAACTTGACGCCAACTCTGGCGTTAACACAGTCCGCATTCGTCAACTCGAAGAGGCTATGGAAAGGACCAGGAGAACTAATGAGGCTCTGCAGCAACAACTGGATGCATCCCGAGCCGAAGTCATGGAACTCCGAGTGCGTCAAAGGGCGCATGAGCGACATCTTCAAGAAGTTGTACGTCAACTGGCAGATCTGGGGGTGCGCCCAAGGGATACCCGTCGCCGGTAGAAGATGTCGACTCATCTTTTTCTTTTGGGTTAAGGAATAACCTTTCTTTTCTGTGCCAATGTAGCACTTGTCTGTAAAATATTCCTATCTTTCAAGTACTTTAACGGGATTTCTAAGCTGTCAACATTTTCCCTTATGGTTTGATGTAAGACCTACTGTTACGTCATTTTTCCCGAACTCATTTACATCATTAATACCAGTAATATTGGTAGTTATCTAATCTATTGGAAAGTCTTTACTCTTGTGTTTCCCTACTCTATTGTTATGTCCCTATCTGATGGTTGGACTATGGCGATTTAGTCCATGAATCACTCTCATCATACTTACAATTGATTCTTATTATTATCATCATCTCTATAAACTACAGTAAAAGATGCCTCCACGTAGATCGGCGAGGCGCGCTGTTCCAAGAACTCCGAATCAAACTCCACCACCACCACCCCCTCCGCAGTTCGATGCGGTGATGTTTCAGGCTGCGGTGACTACAGCTGTGGCCGCAGCCATGACTCAAGTAAATTCTGGTGGTGCTAGTGGAGCTGGAACGGGCACCAACTCTAGCCATGGTGAAATCCAACCATGTACACGGGAGTGTACCTATAAAGACTTCATCAGCTGCAAACCAGTGTACTTCAACGGAACCGGAGGGATCATCGCGCTGTCCCAATGGATCGAAAGAACGGAAGCAATCTTTGAGATGTGCTCTTGTCCTGAAGGAAGCAAGATAAAATTCGATGCATGCACCTTCACCGAAAGGGCCCTGACATGTGGAATGGCCATGTCAAATCACTCTCACTGGTAGCAGCTAACGCTATGGGCTGGGAGACACTGAAGGATCTAATGGCAAAGGAGTACTGCCCGAGAGGCGAAGTTCAGAAACTCGAAAAGGAACTGTGCACTACTAGAAAAACAGCCTTTTACGACGCGCAATGCGTGTCGTAAGACTCTCAGACGACGCGCAAATGCGTGTCAAGGAAGGCCCTGTCATAACGAGAGGCGACACACTTTTGCGTGTCGTCTATTTACGACGCACATTTACGACGCGCATTTATGACACGCATTTACAACGCACAGTTATGACACGTAATGCGTATCAAGGAAGGCCCTGTCATAAAGGAAGACGACACGCATTTGCGTGTCGTAACTTTACGACGCGCGTGTTTATGTCACGCAATGCGTATCAAGGAAGCCCCTGTCATAAAGGAAGACGACACGCATTTTTGCGTGTCATAATTTTAAATGTTTTTAAAATTATATATTTTTGATAGATTTACTAATTTTCAAATTAAATAACATATTAAAAGTCTCATAATACAAAATAAAATACCATAAACAATAAAGATAATTCATTGCACTAATATGTCAAATACAAATAATCATTCCAATAGTAAGTAAATGTAACACATTGCTAATATTGCATAATATTTATTATAGAAAACAAGACATGTACAACATTAAAAGAAACCCATGACTAAATTTTCCTTTGACAATTTCATTTCTAAAAGAATAACCTGAATGCAGGAACTTTGAGAGGCTGCAAGGCACTAATATGTCAAATTAGTTTGTCTGCATGTTTTCAGCCAAATATAGGAAATTTCAGGAGTATGTATACATGTCATTTATATATATATATATATATATATATATATATATATATATATATATATACATACATACCTGGAGATGACTCTTTAAGTGGAATAGAGTAAGCCCTTGAATTCCCATTAGCTTCAAAACTGATTTTGGAGTAGCCTCTAACAAAATATAGAAAAAAAACTCAATAAGCTTCTTTTTTATTTCATTTCTTATGTTTCATAAACAAAAATATTAGGAATACACTTACTATTTGCTCCTCCATGCTGGTTGACTGCTTCCATCGAGCAATTGGATTATGAAGATTGCTACCAGCTGAAAATGAAAAACAAAAAGAAAAATACATAAATCAAAATAAACTTCACCATTGTAGCTCCAGTTGCTGTAAGAAGAGGCTTTGAGAAATGATTGCAGCTCCAGTTGTAAATAGTTGATTGAGGTAAAAAGCTTCTCTCTGAAGCTCCTGGAACTCCAGGTGAGCCTAAAAGAGGATCTGCAAGCCCTGACCTAAAAAAAAGATAAACTTTTTACTAAAAAAGAAAAGGAGAATGAAAAAAGATAAGGAATTAAGAGACTACTGACCTCAACAGCAAACTCGAACCATGGGCAACAATCCAAGATTTCACAAACAAAAACAACTGTGTCTCTTACAAGAAACCCTGCATCTGCTTCAAGCATATCAGAAACCTTCATAAACTGAAGCACATAATTATTCCATGTCTTTGTACAAATAGATGACTCCTTCCACACAGACTTGGAAGGATTCTTTTGATTCAAAACAGCCATTCTGTATTTCACCCAAAAGTTCTTATCAGGGTCAGTCCCAACAGATTGATCACTCTCTAGGTATATGCATATTGTGTCAAAAGACTCATATACCCCTGCATTATGAAAACAAGACTGTTACTATACAGACAAACCCCTCTTTAACATATTCGGTTATAAAAGTAAATATCTTACTGGTTTCCATTATATCTCATTCATATCAAACCAAGAAGATGATCGAGCTAATCCAGCTAGACTATTAGGTCGCTTATGCTATTTTTGTATAATTCGCTGTAGAAAACAATCAAGAAACATCATGAAAATTGATTCTTGTTTCTAACCCTTAAATATTGTATTTGACACTGATCTTGCAAGAGGTTTAACAAACAATAGGGGCATCATTACCAACATATACAACTTTTAGGTCAGAACCAAATGCAACAAGTGCATTACTAGTGAGGAGTGTCTGAAATAAATGAGATCCTTTCTGCGCCCTCTCTACCCCGATTTTTCTAATTGCTGAGTCAGCATCGTCCAGCAAATTATCTGGCTGTCAAGCAATGTACTTTATTTTACTTTTTTTTTTACCATAATAGCAATGTATTCATATATTTCTTTAATGTATTTTATTTTTAACCCATAATAGTCATATATTTAATTTTATTTCTATGTGGGGGTCCCACATGGTGTCTATAGTGTAGAGTGTAGACAAACTTCTTTATTACCCTTGAAATAAATCATGTACTTAAATTACCCTGAAACTAATGTAGCACTAATGCGAGACTTCAACCCTGGTAGCACTGTTTTGATATGTTGCACCAAAATCTGCAAATCAAAAGAAACAAATAAATATTATTTTATAGTATCTTTTAACAAATATCACATTGTTCAAGGGTAAAAAAAAAAAAGATTCTTCAAACACTCACAATACCTGGTTCAACTTCTTTGCTAGTTGAGGCACACCACAACGATCAGCAAGCTCATTATAAACCTGCACTATAAATTGTTAAATTAACTAAAGATCTCATCAATGCTAAATTGTTAATTTATAAATAAATAAATAAATAAATAAAGTAAAAAAGTAGTCATACCGGACGACTGCAAAAGAACTTCTCCTCAGCCACAAGTGCATCTTTAATTGTCCGATTAAGCATAATATCCTATTTAACAATATTGTATATAAGTTGTGAGATTAAATAACACAATAAAAGCCCCACAAGTGCATCTACAATAATAAAGTTTGGTTTTTTAGTGTTGAAGGAAGAAAAATATTACCTCTTGACTACGATTTACAAAACCCACATAACCAAGTCTTAGGGGAATAACTTTTCCAAGCAAAAAGTTACGGGCATCTGTACCTCTATCCATGATGTCCAACTAAATAAAATGAATAGGATACAACATGTCAGAAATGAATAACAACAGACAACAGATAGGATTAAGGAATGACTAAAAATGAAAACTTGGGTTTATGTATATTGAACCTTTGTTATCACACCGATTGTTCGGTAACCTGTAAAAATAAAGAGGATAATATCATTTTAAAGAGATGAATATGATATCATAAGTTACATTAGCATGGAGTCAAATACCATCTGGATCAGCATTTCCAGCAATCTGAAGGGCGTCTGAGTTGGCAAGGTCTGAATTTGCTGGTGTCACAGCAAGAATTAAACAGCTGGGAGTCTTAATGTATGACATTATCATTGTTCTGATGCGAGCTTCAATATCAGAGGGCTGATCACCCACAGGAACTTTTGTTATGCCAGGTAAATCAACCAGAGTTAGGAGAGAAAATCTTTAAATGGATTTTCTTGTCAGAAACACCCTTGTTTCCCCCTGCTTCCCTGTCAGTCTCAGCCTATAGTATCCAAATTGTAAATTAAGAAGTCAGTGATCTAATCTCACTTGACAAGAATATAAAGTGCTTGAACTTTCTATTTAGAGGCTCATGATCATACAGAATTCAAGGACAGAATTACTCTGTTAACATGTAAACAACAAAATTCTATCAGATGAAAGTTTCTGTAGGTAGTAAAATTGGTCTAGGGAACTAATTTTATGAATATGAACAATGATTTTACTTCGTATTAATCTTTCACAGGTAGTAGACTTGAACAAGCTATGATATAATATCACTGAAGCAACAATCCCTTGTTCACCAAACTGGGCTGCACTTCCATGACTCAAATGTTGAGACAACTGATTTATACATATCCAAGATCAAGTCATTGGCCTTATCTCCAATAGCATTAAGAGCAACCTTATGAAAAAATTGCTCAACTAGTAAGTTATTTTACATATTTACAACCACATTTTTAAAGATAAATGAAAAAAAATAAAAAATAAAATACCTGGAGGCCATATTTGTCGGATTGAACAGTCATATTAGATAAGTTTTCCATATCTGTAACTTGGAGGCCAATATTCCAAGGCTCATCAACATATGGCTACAAGAAACATGTAAGAAATGTTATCTCATATATAATATTGATTTAATAACAATAAGTTAGAAAACAAAGAAAAAAATAAAATTTATTTACACCTTGTGAAAAAGTGCACTGTTAGATCCTAAGGATCCATCTGAAAAGGCTTTAACACCACTTAAGAATATCCACTGGCTCAGCCTACGTCCTGTTTTTTGTATTATATCCTAAAAAGAAAACAAGAACATCAAATTTAATGCTAACATTTAATTCATTAGAAAACGTAAACATAGAAAAATTATCATGAAGTAGTTAGTAGTCAAGTAAAGTCATACAAGCAAAGGTGACCATGTTGGCATTGGAAAGAAAAGGCAAACCCTAATCATCATTCTTTCTGATAAATCAGCCCATTTGTAAACATCTGAAATTAACAAGAAAGTCAACACTTTATTTTATTGATTTAACCATTAAACTATTTTATTTTTCCCTTGCCTCTAAAATCCTCTTATATTAAAATTGATGTACATTGAGTAAACTGTTTGTTGGAATGTAAGGGTAAAATGGTCATTTCAGACACTAAACCTTCAAAATCCTCCCATGAATGTTCTAGTGATGCTCCAGGAAAATATCTTCCAAAATCAACAACCGTTGTGACACCCCTCATCAATGCATACCTACTAGCTCTATCCAATGCTTGTCTTCTTTCTTCAACAGAAACTTCCGGAATGCATGAAAGAACAACTTTCATTGCAGAATCAATCATAAGGCCTGAAGGTTCTGCATATAAGGATTCAAAAGACATGAGTTTACAAAATGAATCCAAGAATATAATAATCATATATAATATTATTATACCTCCATTTGCATTTCTGCTAATAGTTCCACCAACTGGATCTTGCATGTTACTTGTAACTCCAGCTAATTTTAGAGCTAAAGAGTTAGCCAATCCCATGTCGCCATCCATTCTCGAAAGCCATACCTGTCAAGATTGAAAAGACTAATTGTGATTAAGTGGGGTTTATTACCTGAGTGGGGTTTAATTACAGTTATATAATTTGTATTTAGTTTTTTCTTACAGGATGATGAGGTGTAATATCAGCATATCATAGTTGGAAGTACATTAAAAATTAAATCTTGATGAGAAAAAAATAGAATTTTCAAAATACAATTAATGGCTTGTAAGATAAATATATTTAAAGTATAATGTTGTACTGATGAAAGAAATGCACAAATAAATTAAAGTATGTTGCTATGATTTGCATTTAGCCCTAAACTGATAAGAACAAAACACAAATGTTATATGTATATCATATGAAGAAGGTGAGGGATTTTAGAACCTGGAGTCCTCCAAAAAGCAAATGGACATGAGAATCAATAAATCCATGGAACAACAACTTGGTCTAGAAGGCAAGTGAAGACGGTTTTCACATTGGTTGCAAGATTACCAGGCTGTACACAGATAATTGAGTAAAAGGAATGTAAGAATCTTGTGAAGTATCCAAGATTCATATATAAAATAAAAAACAATATATTTTTTATACTTAGTGCTTTAAAGAAAAGAAGAAAAGTTGTAGAAAAATCTTTTGACATATCCTCAGCAAATACTAATACAACACTAACCATCACACTCCAACCATGTCCTTTCTTCAACAACACTTCAGATCAGGGGCAATATAGTCCGGTGTCCCCACTGTTGAAAACGCCTTCTCTCACATAAACAAGCAATCTGTGGGGCCACTGAAGAATTCAGAGGGACTTGTCCTCTTATACCAAAAGCTTGGGGAGGAATGGAATTGCTAATTCCAGGCTGCTGTACAGGAGGGCTTGGAGCCATTGAATTCAATTGAGATGGAGGAATGGAATTGACAACTCCGGGCTGCTGTGTAGGAGGAGGAAGTTGAGGTGGAGTCATTGGAGGGATGGAATTGACGATTCCGGGCTGCTGTATAGGAGGGCTTGGAGCAGCGATTGAATTTGGTTGAGATGGAGTAATGGAATTGACGATTCCGGGATGCTGTGTAGGCGGGCGTTGAGGTGGAGCCATTGGACTGGGTTGAGATGGAGGGAGAGCTGAAAGTTTTATCTGAGGAGGGGGGATTTTAGCTGATGCAAGCCCATATAAGGCTGATTTTACTATATCTGGTGTTAATTCTCTTTTGCTTTGTGCAACAGTTACAAGTTTAAGGGCATTATAGAATTCTTGACGCCCAAGGAAGCCAATTCTATTCTGATCAGCATGCTGCCATATCTGTAATTTTATGTAATATATTAATTAATATACTAATTATACAAATATTCAAAAAATTTGATGAGAATTACGTTGACCCATATGAAAATAGAGTAAATTACAAATATGGTCCCTTATTTTTGGATTTTTACCGTGTTTAGTCTATTGAAGTCTTTTTCAAATTTGGTCCTTTTCAGGGTTTCAGGGATCAAAATCAGAATGAGAACTTAAAATAAGAATCAAAACTGAAAAGATCTTATTTTTGGAGTAATAAATGTAAAAATCAGAAAGCACAGTGACCGTTTTTGTAATTTGCTCCAAAACTACTTGTTTGGTTCTTAGCTGGTTTAAATCTATTACCCAAGCCACCTATTTTTCCACATGTAAGTTAATACTAAACTCAACTTTTTGTACCTAGTGCTAGAAGTTACTACATGGAATTAGTTTCCTATGTTTTTTAAATGCAAAAACATGCTGTGTTGCATTGTCTAGTAATATGATAGGAAAATAAATGATTTTCCACAATGAAATGTAAATAAGTGAATTTTGTGCATAACATCCCATTAAAGTTGCAACAATTTCTATTTTGGGGTATATGTATTATGTATATCATAAATATCAAAACATATCATTTACTTTTGGAAATTTTCAAGATAAAGGTACCTAGTTGATAATTGTCACCTACAACTTAATGACAGAATTAGTAATGACCAAATATATGTTGCATTATTGAAGGTGTTTTAGACATCTATGACTCTATGCGACAGACATCTTTAATCTACCTGAACTACTTTAAAGGTATTACAGACTTTAACTCACAATAGGCATATGGGAGCTACTTTACAGATCTTTCTATTCACAATAGTTTTGGGATAATTGAAGGAAATGTTCCAATGTCTATCAACTTCGTTCCAGTGTGAAGAGGAAGATCCAAATGCACTTTCGGCCTACCAGTAACATATTAACCCCTACATTCTTCTAACTTCCTACAACACCTAGCTTCTAATTACCAGTATTACAGACTTTGATTCCTCACTTCTAATATTCAAGTTAGTAGGCTCTCATTTTACTGTTACTCTACACGCAACTCAATTCATCCGCACTCTTATGTTCCTAGAGATGCTAACAAATTAAAATTCAGTGGAGAGTGGAGACCCAAAATGACTTATAACGGTTTATAGATCAAGATATGATACGAATTCTCCTTGATATTCAACCATTTGTCAGACTGATCCTCGATTATAGAACGGATGAAGTATAAAATATTAAATAGATTAGTCAATGACTACAGAAAGTGAATATCTAAAACCTCTTACCAATTCACTGTGGCACGGCCGACGACGTCATACAAATCAGCGACTCCTATTGCTTTCGCCCAAGTGAGTCTCCAACGAACATCACCGCCCTCGACTTCGTTCACTGTCGCCGCCCTCAACTAAATAAGGTATCAGAGGCAAATAAGGTATCAGAGGCAAGGGATTCGACCAAAATAGGGTCAGGATGCAATCTCCGAGACGGTGACATTGATGAGTCGCAATCGCTGGTGAAGTGAGGCGAGCCTGATGAGGTCGTCGGCCGTTGAGATGAAGTGTTGCAGTCGTACTCTAGCTCAATCGTCTGGAGAATGTTGACTTGAAAAAACCCTAGTTATCGTGTGGGGGGCTTTAGGGTTGTTTTGGGATGCTAAGGGTTTGGTTAGAGGTATCAATAGAGGGAACAAGGGATATTGATCGAAAAGGGGTTTTAATTTTTTTTTGGACAAAATGTTTCTTACCAATTAATAAACCCTAAATGATTCTTAACAATTATATTGCTGGAAAGTAGGGTAGATGGAAAGAGGAGAGGATGAGGAACACTATATCTCCGGTTGTAAGCATGAGGAGTCGCAGAACCCCAATTGCTAGCTCTGCAACGTTCGTCTTTGGGAGCACGTACCAAAGCCCTAGTTGTTGGTCTCCATTTTGTGATCTTCAGGAATGAATGCGAGTTTTTAAGAAAAAAATTATAGAACAATTATATGAGTTGTCGAGGTTTATAGCAGAGATGGTATCGTGATTAGGGTTTGCAGAGAGAAGGAAAGAAGAGAACGAAGGGAGATCTTGAAGCGGGGTATTTAAAAAAAAATTAATTTTAAGAGGATTTCCTCAAGAACGCGCGTTTTAAGTAAAAAACATAAAGCGACATTCACAGAGGACGCACATTTTAGATAATGTGCCCTCGTGTTTTTATGTTTTTTTACATGAGACACTAATTTAAGGGCACACAATAATGCGTGACCTAAATCCTTAAATTTTTTGAAGAGATGACACTTTTTTAATGTCACTCTCATTTGCGTGACATAAATCAATGAGTGTCGTGGTTTGCGCGTCGTAAAAGGGTCTTTTTCTTGTAGTGGTGGAACCTGAAGATGAAGGGTTTCGACATAGTGGCTTATACGGCCAGATTCAGCGACCTGGTGACTCTATGTCCCAACATGGTCCCCACCGAAAGCAAGAAAATCGAGAGATACATCTGGAGTTTGGTGCCCCCGTATCGAGGGAACGTTCTAGCATCGAACCCTGCGACTTCTGATAGTGCCAAGGAATTGGCCCAAAGGCTTATCGATCACGAGATTCCTTCTCCTCCAACAACAACCACAACTGCTGTCTCAGCACCAACCAAAGCGGCCAACAACAAGAGAAAGCGTTGGGACGGAAAGAATGGCAGATCAGCTCAACCCTCTTACAAGAACCAACAGGTTGTGGCTGTCCGTGCTGCCACAACTCCTGTTACCCCTGTACCAGCAAAACCATATACAGGGAGCCTACCCAAGTGCACTAAGTGCAACTTCCATCATAACGGCCCCTGTCGGGAATTACACTGCACCAACTGTGACCGGAAGGGCCATACCATCCGGTTTTGCAGAGCACCACCCAAACCCATCACCCAGGTCCCTGGTGCAGGAGTAAGCCAGGCCTGCTACGGGTGTGGCGAGACAGGGCACTTCAAAAGAAACTTTCCTAAAGCTAGGAATGCAGGAGGAGCAGGGAGACTACTTGCTATTGGCCACAATGAAACCGTGGCAGACCCCACAGTAGTCACGGGTACGTTCCTCCTCCATAACTCATATGCATGTATCATATTTGATAGTGGGGTAGAGAGGAGCTTCGTGAACCAGAAATTTAAACACTTACTTAATCAATCACCACAAGCACTAAAAGAAACCTTCATCGTAGAAATGGGCAACGGAAAGACAGAGAGTTCTAATGAGATTTAAATAGGTTGTACCCTCATGCTAGATAATTATTCATTCCCAATCGACCTCATACATGTAGCAATCAAGAGTTTCGATGTCATTGTGGGCATTGACTGGTTGAATCTCCATCGTACCGATATTCTGTGTTTCGAGAAGGCAGTCTGCCTAAACCTACCGAATAACGAGACCTTGTTGGTCTACGAAGACAAACCCAGTACGAGCCTTCGTATCATCTCAAGTATTCAAGCCCAGAAGTACTTGCGTAAGGAATATCATGCATTCCTTGCACACGTTGTCGTCACGAGCCGAGAAACAAAAGACCTAAAAGACATCCCCGTTGTACGCGATTTTCCTGACATCTTTCCGGAAGAACTCCCAGGATTACCCCCGCAACGTCAAATCGAGTTCAGAATCGACTTAGTGCCAGGAGCTACCCCTGTATCCAAATCGCCCTATCGTCTAGCACCAACTGAGATGCAGGAGCTATCCGGTCAACATAACGAATTGCTCAGCAAGGGCTTTATTAGAACAAGTTTCTCACCATGGGGAGCACTGGTCTTATTCGTGAAGAAGAAAGACGGATCGTTCCGTATGTGCATCGACTATAAAGAACTCAACAAACTTACGGTCAAGAATCGTTACCATCTACCTCACATAGACGATTTATTCGATCAACTACAAGGGGCAAGCTACTTTTCAAAGATTGATCTGAGATCCGGGTATCACCAGTTACGAGTAGTAAAGGAAGACGTCCCGAAGACAGCCTTCCGAACTCGTTACGGACACTACGAGTTCGTAGTGATGCCATTCGGATTGACCAATGCCCCCGCAGTGTTCATGGACTTAATGAATAGGGTATGCCGTCCTTACTTGGATCAGTTCGTCATCGTCTTCATCGATGAGATACTTATCTACTGTCGAAGTAAGGAGGAACATAGTGATCATCTGCGCAACTCCTAGGAACCCTACGAACAGAGAAGCTCTACGCAAAGTTCTCTAAATGCGAATTTTGGATCCGAAGAGTCGAATTCTTAGGACACATGGTTAGCGAAGAAGGAATCCACGTCGACCCATCCAAAATTAAAGCTATTGAGAACTGGTCAGCACCGAAGACGCATACAAAAATTCGTCAATTTGTAGGCCTCGCCGGCTACTATCGCAGGTTCATACAGAACTTCTCGCGGATTGCGAAACCGCTTACAATAATGACCCAAAAGGGAGTGACCTTTGACTGGGAAGAGAAGCATGAGAAAGCGTTCCAAACACTAAAACGAGCCTTATGCACCGCACTGATACTGTCCCTCCCCGAAGGAACAGAAGACTTCGTGGTCTACTGCGATGCGTCAAATCAAGGGCTCGACTGTGTTCTGATGCAACGAGGTAAGGTCATCGCCTATGCCTCAAGGCAACTGAAAACACACGAGGTCAACTACACCACACACGATCTTGAATTAGGAGCAGTTGTGTTTGCTCTGAAAATCTGGAGACACTACTTGTATGGTACGAAGAGCACTATATTTACAGACCACAAGAGCCTACAACACATATTCAACCAGAAGGAACTCGATATGAGACAAAGACGGTGGGTCGAACTACTCAATGACTACAAATGCGAAATTCGTTATCATCCGAGTAAAGCCAACGTAGTAGTAGACGCCCTAAGTCGGAAAGAATATTCTGGTCGAAGAGTCAAATCATTGACTATGACTATCCATTCGCATCTGTCCACACAAATTAAGGAGGCTCAGCTCGAAGCCTTGAAACCTGAAAATGTGGCGGCTGAATCCCTGTGAGGAATGGATAAGAACTTGGAAGTCAAGGGTGGCGGAGCTTTATATCTCATGGACCGGATCTGGACACCGAGACACGATGGATTCAGAGACTTGGTCATGACTGAAGCGCACAACACTCGTTATTCCGTCCACCCAGGTTCAGATAAGATGTATCTGGATCTTAAAAAGTTATACTGGTGGCCTAACATGAAAGCAGAGATTGCTACCTTCGTAAGTAAATGCCTTACTTGCGCCAAGGTCAAGGTCGAATACCAGAAACCATCAGGTCTACTTCAGCAACCGGAGATACCTGAATGGAAGTGGGAGCGGATCACTATGGACTTCATAACCAAGTTGCCCAAGACAACGGGTGGACTTGATACCATTTGGGTCATCGTCGACAGATTGACCAAGTCCGCACACTTCCTGCCCCATTAAGGAAACTGACAAGATGTAGAAGCTCACAAGAACATACATTCGGGAGATAGTACGACTGCATGGTGTTCCTATATCAATTATCTCCGATAGAGATAGTAGATTCACTTTGAGATTCTGGCAGTCGCTACAAAGCTCCTTAGGAACGAGGCTGGACATGAGTACAGCCTACCATCCACAGACCGACGGACAAAGAGAGAACTATCCAAACCTTGGAAGATATGTTGCGAGCCTGTGTGATTGACTTTAGAAAGGCATGGGATACTCATTTACCCCTTGTCGAATTTTCCTACAACAACAGTTATCACACGAGCATAAAGGCTGCTCCATTTGAAGCCCTCCACGGCCGGAAGTGCAGATCCCCTATGTGCTGGGCTGAGGTGGGT